GGCCTCCAACCTACTAGCGATGGCTTCCAACCTACTATAGCGATGGTCTCCAACCTACTGGCGATGGCCTCCACCCTACTACCGCTGGCCTCCAACCTATTAGCGATGGCCTCCACCCTACTAGTGCTGGCCTCCAACCTACTAGCGATGGCCTCCACCCTATAGCGCTGGCCTCCAACTTACTAGTGATGGCCTGGAGACTCCGGACTGGATTTTGGTCGGTTCATTTCCCAAGTCTTGCCAGCAGGCGCAACAATGGACATATTATTCGGAATTGGCCAGTCGCTCTTACCTGAAAGAATCACCACTCTAGGCTATCAAAGGATCAACGTCAATCTGTTGAAACCGATGCAAACAGGCAGTCTACGAACCGCTCCAAACCGCCCTCCCTTCAGTGCGTGGAGTTCCCCCCCCGGCTTTCGATGAGAACCGCTGCCGCAGAGGCTTGGAGCTCCCCCACAGCGACGTCGAAGGCCTACGAGACGGCTGTGACTGGCGAAGGTCAAAGAAAAGCAAACTAGATTAGACCTTTCTTCATCTTTAATCCTTTTTTTTGTTTCTAATAGCGATGACCTCCAACCTACTAGCGATGGCCTCCAAACCTACTAGCGCTGGCCTCCAACCTACTAGCAAAAATGAGTGGTCAAACATCCAAGCGCGCCCGTCTTCTTCGGACAGAGTGAATTTCGTCACAAACAGAGAGTCACGAGGTGGAAAAAAAAGAACGGGTCTGTCTCAAAATGGGTAGGGCAAATAGATGCAAATAGGAATATTGGTCAACCAACAATTCTCTCAGTCAATGTTCCTTTTGCAACCCAGGCTGCGGTCCGGGTTTGGTCCCTGCATTTGAGGCAATAGCCTATGTTGTGCTGTGCTGTGAGACGAGGCAGCGTGTGTCTATTTGAGAGTGCAAATTTGGACCACCACATCTACAGGTTCTCAAGGTTTTGAAGTCAGGAAATCCAGCAACAACTCTTTGTGGGAAACATGAAATTAGTACCACCAGTGCCGCAGCAGGTTCTGAGAATCTTGTACCAACAATTGTTCCTTTAACTTTAAAGCAGCCTGTCAATCTATGGTATCGAAAGGCTTCAATGGACAGCCAAACACGATGGAGAACTAAATACTTGCATCTTGCGTAGCAAATTTTGCTTAGTCATGTCAAACAAACACAACACCTCCTTCGAGCAACATGGCCCTTGGATTGTTTGCATCCCCGAAACAGTTGTGAAGATTCGGATGGAGCTGAGGATTCATCTGTAGATCAAAGTATATTGATGTATATTGAAACAATTCCTTGCTCCACCTCCACCCGTCATTCTTCGCATCGATTTCAAATCCGACGTCGCTGAGCCCAAATGACAAGCTTCGTGAGAAAAAGCTGCGAGCACAGCCCCCACAGTCCAGTTTCGGGACATCCCAAATACAGAGTTGTACGATGTGAGGACTGGCTTCTTGCTAAATTTATGAGTCTTCTTATCCAATGTTCATTCTGACAGCATATGGCTCAAAGCAATCAGCCTCAAGGACAAAGAGGTTTGGGTCTATGCCAATGCCTTTTGCGGGGTTGGGACGTACTCTGTGTTTAAAAAATAGAAGTGCAACAAGTTAAGCAACAACAAATGCACAACAACCCATCGCCAACACCGCCACCACCAACCACAAGAGCAACACCACATGCATATTACCTCCAGTTTCTTGTCGTGGTTTGCAATCAAGGACACCAGCTCCTGCACATGTTGCTGCAGGTCCACCGACCGCGACGTCGTTGTTGCTCCGCTTATATAGCTTGTCACCGCTGTGCTGCTGCATGTGCTCCATCAACGGTCGTGGATTCAACGGTCGCTTCCCCCCGGTGAAAACGACACATCGAACGAGATGTGGCTGTGGGTCATGGCACCGACCTGGGTTGACCCGGTTTTTCACATCGCCGAATGGACGGGACCGAGGGATTCCGGATTTGAACCCACAGCCAGGTGGCATCATGTGGCTTAACTTGCACCCTGAAAAAAAAACACTGAAGCCGTGGAGAAACTTGACAATCACCTTGCCTGCCGGGCATATGTTTGGAATGCTTGACAATCACCTTGCTTGATGAGTCTGTCCATCCAAAGAGAAGCTAATGAATGAGTTGTACACATTGGGTGTCACAATAGCTTCTCCTCAGTGAAGACAAGTCTTTATGTCTCTTCAACGATGCGATCCCTTTGTCTCATCGGTATTGCATCGCACAAGGGTCAATATGTTTTCCCGCATCATTCCGCATCACATGCTGCATGTGTTTGGCACATCAACACATGTTGGCACACATGCCGACCCGCATCCTGTGAACAGGATCCTTTTGTGCTGTGGAACGTGTATCTAATGATACACGTCTATCTTGTGCTGACGGGTTTGTGAAAATCTTTGCACGCGATGGATTGCATAGCTTGATGCTTGACTGTAGTTTGATCAAATGCAAGCCAGGTGGACTCCCTCTCCTCCTTGGTCTTCTCCAGCTGCTGCTGTTGCTCTTGAACACTTTCCTCTGCTCGTGCCTCCGGAATCAAACACATGACTTCTAACCTGCATTTTAGGACGGACACAAGACACCTCCCAAGGCTTGACAATCATGTCACCATGTCTCACAATCCTCTTGGTTTTCCGGTCTTGGTAATGAAAGTCTCAACCTTAACTGATACCGCAGCCTTGAGCCGGCTAGAAGTAGAATCTGCCTCCCAACGCTTTGCTTTTGTTCAACCCTGTTACCCTCATTCAATGAAACTGGTCCCCCTCTTCCCAACCCCGACGCCCCATCAAAACAAGCTCATCTGGCTCATTGTTGGCTTGGGACCTAGGAGATTCATTGGGGCAAGCCAAATAGATGGATACAGTAATGAAATAATTACCTACTGGATGCCATGCCGGCCGGCCCCCCTCTCTCTGATCAGCGATTTTGCTGCAACCCTCTACATCCCATCTTCCCAGCCAATGTGTATGTGCAGGGTATCTTCCGCCACTTCTTCCGTTCCTTCCGGTACCATTCTTTAGCTTGTCTGGGTCACATGCGTCTGGCATCCTGGCTCTCAAAAACACCGTATCCATAGGTCGTTGTTCCGACAAAAGCAAGTCATTCGGTCCAGCAAGCCCCCGGCGAACCCAGCGTTTGAGGTTGATGTGAGTTGCCTTTGGACCTCCTTGTTGTACCTTCCTTGGTTATATAATAATAACAGTAGCTTTTCTGTGTCTTGACTTCTCTTAAATGATCTTAAATTCGAGTCAAAGATACTTTGGTTCTTATTGAATACCCTTGCGGTGAGTCCTTCAAATCTATTTTGAGGTTGTTCTGATTCCTTTTGAGGAAACCTCATTCTATCTTCCGGTCTCCTTTTGAGGTCGTACAATTCTTATGATTGATATTTCTTGATGCCATTTCCATGAAGAAATAAGTCGTAAGTCTTGGGATCTCTCCACCCAACCCAGATCGGTCCTTGGACAGGCTGAATGACAGTTAGTTCAGAGTTCAGAGTCATTGTATAGATGGTTCAAAAGCTTCAAACCCAATGGGTCGATACCTCTTGTCCGATCGCTCCTAGTAGTAAGGCCAGGAGACCCGTTCGTAGCGAACGTGGTTCCTGGTTCAGAAGGTTCAAAACCAATGGATCGATGGATGCGTGGTTTCCTAACTGAACATGCTTCACACGTCGCTGTCAACTGTTCGTAGTGTGAGCATTTGGCGGCACGTTGGGATATCCACATGGTGCCTGCCATGTCCCCACGCTTCACACCGCCTGTCACATAGGATCGACATGGTCCCTTTGTACCTGTAATATCTGTACTGGCTCCCAACAAAATACCACATGACAAAGATCCATAAATCGAGGCTACAAGCAGCAATACCTTTAAAAACATGCAAATCAAGTGCCCCCGGTAGTATTGACCTTGGTCTTTGGGGAGAAAGCTACAGGCTGCCTGTCCCTTCGCTTCCCCGTATTCCGCGCCCTCATCCGCGCCTGTGTGGAGATTTGTGAGTCCAGGCCCTTAGAACATGCCTGGTGGATCAACATCCAGGGACCCCTTTGCTAAGACATTTGTTGACACACATGATTCATTGCACCATATTATATAGATTATATACTATATATATCAGGACCATCCAAGAGGTGCCTATAAATAGCCTCTTAGAGGTATAGGGGGTGTCCAAAAATCACCTGTTGGAAGGTGCTGGTATATATATATATATTTATATTTGACCCTGGAACCTCGATCTGCTTCTTCAACTCGGACACTGGGTTGTGCCAATCCTCGGCCTGAGCGGCACCAAGAACTGGTCATGACTGAGGTGCTTTAGGTTAGATTGGAGAATGTGATGAGTGATGCTGATCGATCTTGGTGGGGCACATATCGTGTGATGAGTGATGTGATGAGTGATGTGTGATGAGTGATTTCTTCCAAATCATCTCCAGTCTTTTGGTGGCACATCCCAAACAACCATCGCAACCACCAGGGTTCACCAAAATACCTTTGACGCACTGGTTTCGCCCGCTTCCAGCAAGGCTTCTGCGGTGACCATCCCTTTTTGTTGGATCGTTTTAGTGGCCTGTTGGTGCCTGGCGCACCACTCCTCTTCACACTGATTTTGATTGGTCCGGTGTTTGAAAACTCCATGAAAACCTCAACTCCAATCCACCCAGCCCTTCGGCGCCTCCAAATGCTTGATCCTTTGCTCCAAGCGCTTCAAGGTGGCCTGACCGTCGACGCTGAGTTCTCCGTCGTGTTTCACGACGAGTTCACCGTGTGACGTCGTGAACGGCGTTCACGCGCGGTTTTGGCCGAAGGATCTTGCGTAGTAGACTGGCGTCCGGGAGTTCGTCGAGATGAAGTCTCCGAAAGCAGCCCTAAAGGACAGTAGAAGTAAAACAGGGTCCAGCTCGAGAATCCTTTTTACAAGATTTATTTACCTGTTCTCCACTGAAGCTACAGAAACGCTCTCAAACATCGATACTTGCTGAAAAAACGACTCCGCCGAAGCACCACCAACCTCCGCCCGAGGCATCAAATCAAAAAGGTGCCACTTCTTTCCAGTCCTTGATTGTTGGAAAGTTCATGAAAATTCATTGTGTCCTTGGCGCAAGAGTCACAGCTATGCTGGGACACCATGACCACTCACCCAGATCTACTCTCTAGTTGACGTCCGGACAATAAAAAGACAATGAAGACATCAATGAAAACACGGCTGGACCGGTGCCGGCCCGTGGCGGCCGGGAGCACCTCCTGCTGATCTACACGAGAGGCCCAAGGGCTCTCCACTTTTGGCTTCGACAACTTCTCCACTTCATCCTGAAAGGCGAAGAACACCCGTCGAGCGAATGATTCATTTCACACATATCGGTTTTCCGTGGCAAAAAAGAAGATGCTGTCTGCATAGACCCTTGAAACATCGTCGTGACCTCTTGGTGGCGAGGCCCCACTTGGTGGCGAGGGCGGGGCCATCTCATCTGAAGCGGATGTCTTGTGGAGTCCGGAAGTCGTGACGACGTCGAATCGTCCACGAATCCACGAATTCGAATTCAGAGGGATGCTCTGGGATGCTCTGGATTGAATTGATATGGATTGACCATCGGATCGTATACGTCGATTCCACGACCGTGGAATGAAATTCCGGAGTGATCCACTCACGAATTCGGGATCGAAGGCGATTCTCCACGTTGAGAGATCCATCCCTTCGGATCCGATTCGGATCCATCCCTTCGCCGGTCTATCCGTGGTCACGTTCAGAGGGACACCGTACACCACCGAAAAAGCACGGTAGGCCGTGGTCACGGTAGGCCATGTTAGAACACACTTGGGTGGCACAGGTGCGAATGCCGCCTGTGAATTTAACTCTCGAAGCAACAGGTCCAAGGGGGGTCCAAGGGGGTCTAAGGGAACATTGGATTGTTTAAGGATACTTCAAACCCTGTCACTGCCTGCTGGAGCTCATGCTGTGATGGCTTGGACAAAGACCACTTTTGTTCACGGTGAAATAACTATATATTGGAACTTGCAAACAAAACTTGGACGCAATCAATTTGGACTGACACAAACTCTTGAAGTGATCTTTCACACCACTCCACCTGCACGTCCAAGCATGAACGACATGCATGCAACGGTCTCTTGGCCTGGCCTGGATTTACCAATCAAAGACCCCCTCAACCAGGAGTTCTATGTGTTTCAATCAACATGTTTGTTCACGTTGCCCGGCTCCTTCATGATGCTATGATGTGGAATCCGAACGTGTAACCCCGGGAAACCGTGGTATCCGAGAGGGTCTCTCGTTTCCAGGCGGTCTCTCTATCTTCCCTCCCTTTAAGGCCATGGTCTCTCACTCGTTGTCGCCTTGAGATGGTGCAGTTCTTGCTCTAATTGCTCCACTCGAGCACTCCACAAGCGAAGCTCATGGATGCTTCGGCCATGCCTCAGGCGACTGCGGGTCCGAGGCCGGCGGAGGCCGGCCGTGTGCGATGAAGCCATGTCCGATGACACAAACGAATTTGGAAGAGCTGTTTCTGTCTTTCAAACGTTGGCATTGGCATCCTGCCGGGTTCCTGAAATGTGTGAGCACTGCTTTTGCACAGTCACTCAAGCGCCACAAGTTGCTAGATATGTGTCATCATGACCATCCAGAACATCACAAACGCAACAGCGTGGTTGGTCATCAAATACACACACATATACAATATAGAGTATTAATGCAATATAAATACACATACTTCGCGATATGCACCGTGGTCCAGCTACAGCACTGTCACAGTGTTTTGCAGTTGCCTCAAAAGCACTGTCATGTTCATAGCAAACAATTGTGTCTTTCGCAAACAAAATATTCCAAGTTCAAAAACAGTACTAGACTATACTCCCAAAGAATTTGTGACTCAATCACAAAGCTATTGCCAACTGCCATGTCATTGATGCCAACAAAAACAGGTGACAATGCTTAAGTAAAGGATACTTGGGAGTCCACGTGTAACCTACTGCTGCCTACAAGTACTGCATAGTGACTAAATCGAACCACTTTGATCCTTTGTTTGTCCAAATGTGAACACATATGAGCTCCCTGCTAATTCTTCGGCTTCACCCAAACTACCAAGTCTCCGCGTGGGAAACAAATAATTCGTGCCAGGCATGTCGACTTGGATCTTCATTTGTCTCATCCATGTGCAAGTTCCAGAAACCACTGGGACCACTGGGATCAGGCACCAGGACCTCACTCATCACTCGTCACTAGGTGACGGACCTCACCGTATTCCGAGGACCTCGGTCACTCGACCTGGGCATCGCCGCATCTCATCTTGTCGGTCGGACAGCGTCTGCTGCGCCTCTGCCGCCTTCATGGCCTCGGGAGAGAGCTTGCGAACGTTCTCTCAGAAGAGCGTGAAACACGACGAAAACCACGGTGGAGATGGTGGAGAAACAGGGGGGAGGGGTTTGTAGGGGGTAGGTGTAACGACGTGAACATGTGTAGGACCTCCAAGTGGATGACACACACAAACTTCAGGAGCATCCCTTATAGGAGGTGTGAAAACCAATAGACAACTTGACTTGATCGAGTCATTATTGAAAACTCGAGGTTCGAGTATCCTGTTAGTTAGTAGTGATTGAAAAAATGCACAGAAGACGCATACACACGCAAAACAAAATGTCCCAATCGCTGGACCATGGCTTGCGATTTGACGGTTTGGATTCTCTGGCCATTGTTGCTGTATCTGGTCTCAAGCCTCGCAGCTTGGAAATAGAATTGAACGTCTCCTCTTGCACACGCCAATCAACCCTATCAGAGGAACACTGAATGATATGTTTGGTAGGCCTGGTAGGCCCTGTCGTTCAAAAGCAAAGCTTTGTGCATAGATGTCACAGAGGAGTCTGTGCCTCACTCTACTGAATTGTTTGGTGATTGTTTATACCTCATAGCTGTATACGTCTAGTTATATAATATTACATGTATATATATATATATCCTCAAATAGCATCAACAAATGCTCTCTCAGATCGTATCAAACTACACCACAATGTCATATCTATATTCATTCCCGGACACTGTCGTCTGAAGGGTGAGACAAGTGACCATGCCAATCCACAAGGGTCCACCCGGCCGCGGGTCCACCCGGCCGCTCGTCCAACCGCGCCCCGTTGGCGTCAGCTGCGGCGCGCCACGTTGGCGTTGGATGCCCAGTGGCCAGTTGCATGGCGCGCTGCGCCCCAGCAGCCATTGCGCTCTGCTTGCGCTCCATGGCCTGGAGCCTGCCGAGCACTCTGCAGGCGCAACCGCCAGCGCCAGCATTGTAAAGGTCAAACGTGATAGATAGTAGATACTGGAACCCTAAGAAGAGGGGCTTGAGCACCTCATGTCCTGGCTGGTTGCATAAGTAAATGAGGCTAAGAACCTGCCAAACTACCAGAAATGATGTGATCAGGACATCTCAACAGGGGTATGAACATACATTCTTGAGTCCACTTTTTACTTTAGAACGTTTCTGTAGAAGCAACTTGAGCGGTATGATGTCATTGATATGATGATATGTTACCATGTGCAACATCAACAGTCTCTCATGATGTCATCTGAGTTACACCGACGTCAACTTTGAATCTGCACAATCTGTAACTGCACAAGTATATACAAACATTCTTACATACAATACGGTGTACATGTTTTGTAGAATGTTGACTGTTTATAAACTATGTACACAATTATATATAGATACACCATATATCATAGGAGATCGTGAATGGATGCTTCGACCACGAACGAAGCGCCCTTGCTTGGCAACGCACGCGGCGGAGCCTTGCCAACGCCGACGGACCTAGCCCCCTTGGCAAAGCGGACAGTTTGGAGGGGCACACCGTGGAGATCTTGTGTCCAGGCTGTGAACCTTTGAGAAAGTGAAAAACGCTAATGCCTTTTACGACCTTGGTGACTTCTGACTCTACATACAAATGGCAAACCTGACAAGAAACATGTAGAAAACCAATGAATTCTCAGCCCCAACAACTTCTGGCAGGCTTCGGGTCGTTAAAAATATGCTTTAACAATTCAGTTCTTGCAATGCGGAGAGTGATGAAAAAAGAAACCTGACTGAAGCGGAGCAGCAAACAGTGCCTCTAATTAGATCATGATCAATTACAGCAATAGTATTAGACTTATCATTAATGTGTCAGTATGTCACGTGATGACGAAAGTTCCGCTAGGTTCAGCTGCGTTGTTCAAAAGACCAAGGCACCGATATTGATGTGTGTACAGCCGGATTCTGCGGAAGGTGTTTGTTGAATGAAACAAACAACACAAACAAGGGTCCTTCACGCATGTTCGCAGCTGAACTCCTCGTTTTGCTGGTTCATTTCCAATCGAGTGTTTCTGTGAAATAGATCATCCATCACCAACATTCACCAACCATAAAGCGTGCATAAGTTATTATAAGGGTCTTCCTCCCCGACGCTACACAACATTCAAAGCGTCAAAGCTTGCTGTGATGTCTATGTTGTGTCTCCCAGGCATATCTTGAATCCATTTCACTGTCCACGGTCGACTGGAACACGCAGCTCAAAAGAATCTCGGGGGCGGCCATATTTTACGAGACTTCGAAGTCCTCTTCGTTTGAGGTTTTGACGTAGTCACCACGAAATACGAAGCGAAATACTGCGGCTTCCAACGCAACGGGTCCCGATGACATGCGTCCCAAGGGACGATGAACGATCTTCGAGGTCTTGCAGTGTGCTCTGGAACCTGAAGAAGTCGCATGGTTGCAGCGACGCGGCCGGTGCAAACGAAAGGACGTTCAGCCCTGCCGATGCACCCTGGTACTGCCAAGACCAAGACTTTCCCATCGGTGTGTCTTTTTGGGGTTGCCAAAAGCTCAATGTTTGACTTTCCAGTGGTCCGAGCTTGGTGTAAGAAAAGGAAACAGAAGGACAAACACTAGGACCATCTAGGACCTAAGGCTTCTAAGGCAGCTCCTCCAGGATCCTCATTTGGCTCTCGCAGAAAAGAACCAACGACACCCCTCCATGCTCGGCTGAGACAACTTGTGAAGCCAAAACACCCAGCACAACCCAGTGTTGATGGGTTTTCTATCACTAGCAGCTTGGAGGCTGAAACAGCAGGAGGCCCATAATCACAACAATAGTGTTTGGCCAAACGAACGATGAATCGTCCACAAACGATCTCTACGATCTCGCCATTTCTCATTTGCCAAAAGTCTTGCAAATGAACAGGATATCCTTTTTGCCGGGCCATCCATGCTTCATTTTATTTTTTTGGGGGGGGAGGGAGTACTTGTGCAAATGCGCACGAACGGAGCAACGGATGCGGGCAATCCGGGGCGATGCGGGCTACACAGTCACCGAGGCCAGGACACGGCGCCTGGTGAATTGGTGGATCCGAGGGCCCCGCCGGACCATCTGCTGGTGTTGGGCCAGCTGGAGATCTTCTTGCCGTCGCACCTGGCGGGAAGCGCTGTGATCTTTCGTGGATGTCGACGGTGGGCGGAGACAGCGACACGGAAGAGCGACTGGCGTCTGAGACACCAGAAACATGGAAACGGACACGTCACCAATGTCAATGCCTCTGAAAAGAGTCCATGTCACAAACAACCGATTGTTTCCTTTATGTTTTCAACCATGTTCTGCAAACGACTGCTGGAAAGGCTACAAAGCAGTGTCCGTTGATTGTTGGCAGTGAAATCTTGAATTGTCTACCTCTGGTTAGAGTTGACTTTAGAGCAAACAGCAGGAATTTGGAATAGTCATGAGTTATGAGAATAATGACAGGACACCTCAGACATTTTGCACTGCCCCGCATGTTAAGGCTATATATAACATTCCCCAACACTTTCACACATGCGCTCTGCAGGTGCCTCCAACAACTTCCTGTACTTCACCCAATTGAATAGTTCAAAAGACTTCCCAATTTCAGGTGGAATGGGTGGACTGGACTGAACAAGCTGGACTGGTCGGAAGCTGGACTGGTCATGGAGAACAAAACATCCACCACTCCACCAGCAACGTCACCGTGCCACTGTGCGATGCTGCGGCCTGAGAACTTAGACGTTGCAAAGACTCGCCGACGAGTTCCAAGCGAGCATCACTGTCCTGGCGCCGCAAGTGCCCAGCGAATGGCAGTCCATATAATCATATATATAGTTATATATAGCTACACATGCTATCATAGGAGGTCTTACTTCACACAAAAAATGGAGCCAATCTAACAAACATAGCCTGCTCACAGGAGGAAGGCTCTACGTGGATTGCCTCGACAGCAGGATGCAGGTTGCCGGTTGCAAATCGAACGTTCATTGACATGTCGAACTCATGAATTTCATTTCCCTGAACTGATTCTGGCTGCTGGCTGCCATTTCATGTCTGTCCTCGCTTGGTGGTCGCCAAGAGCCCGGCGACGCAGGGATGGAGACCTCGGTGCCAAGAGACGGTTTCCTCGTTGCGTTTTCGGTTGGTGGATGTTTTCTCAATGGGTTTTGTATGGTGCAAAGTATGGTGCAAAGTAGCTGGTGCAGAGTCATACTGGTGTCACATTGGGTGGCGAGGCGCCTGTCACATTGGGTGGAGGTTCAGAATTCAGCAGTAGTTGGTGTTGTGATCTGTTGTTCTTTGAGGATTCTCCTCATAACCAACGACTAAGAACTTGCAATGCGGCTAGAACTAACCTTAGAAATCACTCACGACCTCCACCGCACGACCTCGACCCAGATTCACCGAAGAAACCGGAGCGTTCCTTCGTGAGCCGCGTCGATCGGACGGCATCGGTCCCGGAGCGAGGTCGAGGTGAAGAAACGGCGTTCGGACGGGCGCACGTTCCCCAAAACCAACAGTTTGGGTGCCTGACGGGTGCGGGAGGCAAAGTGGTGTGGCCTTCTGACAAGATGTGCGGTCAATCTGGAATCACGATGCCATGGTGTTTCTGCGGGACACCGATCCTGCCGACCTTCGTTCCAAGCAAAAATACCGAAGCACTGCTCTCAAGATCACCAGTTGCTCCCGGATTGGCTCGTTCTTTGGGGAAACTTCTGCCGCCTCCACAGCCCTGCCGTGCCGTGCGTGCGTGCCGCCCATGCCCTCCAAGCCGTCGGACGGTTAGAGGGATTGGTCCCATGGACTCACAGCCTGCGAGTGAAGCTTTGAAGCGATCAGGAGAAGCAGCCGAAGCCACACAATACCCTTTGCAGCAATCAGGAATGATTCCCAGAAGTCCAGGGAATGACAATGCATATCCTTTACAGTATGAGTAATTATGTATACAATCCAATGTTGCACATCCAGGATGGCACAACATTTATCATAACCTCTTGAGCCTGTTTCATATAGTGTGTTTTTTGTTGTCGCGACTGCTGTTCAGATTGACATGCTGCAAGCTCACTCAGATTAGCAAGCAAACGGTGCCACCCTCTTCTATGTCATGAATTATATAGTATGAATTAGATCCTCTATGGAATGCGAGTACTTTTTCTTCCTGAAACCAACACGATGCCGTGGACGATGAGTGGGTCTGCAAAGCTGGGATGGTTGATGAGCATCCCGGATTGGTGGTCCCCTGTTGCCAGGATACCCTGTAGTATCCTCTCTTCATTTGATTCGCCTTGATTCCACAGCCCCTGTGCCTTTGATCTCGAAGTCCTACGCTCGGGCGTCATGGTGCAAAGATTCCAACGGTTCCAAATTGGATGGTGCTAACCAACGATTCAGGGTTGAAGTACACCCATCTGAATCTGGGTAAAGAACAAAAACTAGAACCAACGTCACCCCTACCATACCAGCAAATGTATTCAACAAAAAATATGTTTTCAGGCCAGGAATGTACGCATTGAACCCGAATCACTAGTGAGTGTTCACTCAGGACCCCCCGAAGTCAAAGAGATGGGCGAGATGGTCTTTCAACCCACGTCTTTGATTAGCATTTCCAAGGCCTAGGAGTGGCAAGTGGGGCTATGAGTCACAACAAAACATGTGTCCAAGTAAATAAGACAGCAACATATACACAAAATGTTCCGGAACTTAATACAAACAATGTAAAACACATCTGCTCTCAACACAGTTGCTATCTTGAGGTCACTACAGCAACGAGTAGGTGATTGGCATATGAGCTAGTCAATACTGGTCGGGAGGTATTGAATCTTTGCTTGGTTGTGAAAACAACATCAGGCTAAGTAAGGCTGTCTTTGTCGCTGGACATTTGCAGGATTGGCGTCGTTGAGAAACAAAAGACTCCATGGGCAGGAGAAACAGGCGGATATATTCAACGGAAGAAAGTGTACTGAGTTGCACGTCGTGGGTAAACAAAAGGCACGAACGACCGGACAGCCGGACGAGAGATCTTGTTCCCCAAAGCTGGACGTCTGGCTGACCCACTTCAGTTCATGGATGGATCCATCGATCATGTCAGCTCATTCCACCTTCTGTGGCTACGAACGTAGGAGGCTTTGAAAAGGCGGAAATTGCTAAAGTCACTCCACGGTCTTCCACAAATGTCTTTCCCCCATGGAATTGCACATCACAGAAGTATAACGCCGCATTCATGAACACTCATGATGTGTGATGTTGATTCGTAGAGTGCCAGAACTGCATGGAATCGCATCAAACACACCAAAGCCTGCACAAAGCAAAACAAGGTTCCCGTTTAAAAACAATGCGGCTCCGTTGCAAACTACAACAATGCGATGACTTTCCTGGAATGCTCTTCCCGAGGAAAACTCCACATTTACACAAAGTGAGCGACGACTTTGTCATTTCCCTGTTATATATATATATATGGGAGTTGATCTAAATTCCTTGATCCGGGATCCGTCATTTTCGCCAAAAAAATTTACTTTCGCCAAACTTTCGCCTTCCTGCGTTATATCTTTCGCCGAAGTACGTTGTATTTATGTGTGCCATGTATGTTGTGTTTTGTTCACGTCAATGGCTTCTTCTTTACTGGCAAACACAAAATAGAAACTTCACTGTTTGTCAGCATGTGTCTTCTACTTATATAACTGTTGACACCCAGTACGTCTCTTTTGTTTCTCCTGGGTGTCAGCAAGAATCAAAATTGCAAGAATCACTGTAGTAGCCGGTCACTCAAACTTACTCATAATGGGCTGGGGGTCAGATGTGGCAGGGTGAACTTTCGCCAATCTTGAGCTGAACTTTCGCCAAACTTTCGCCTTTTGCGGGGTAGAGTTTTGTGGCAAAGCCACCCCCCCAAAGCAGGAGCAGGAATAGTAGTAGTAGTAGTAGTAGTAGTAGTAGTGGTAGTGGTAGTGGTAGTGGTCGTGGTCGTGGTCGTGGTCGTGGTCGTGGTCGTGGTCGTGGTGGTGGTGGTAGTGGTAGTGGTAGTGGTAGTCGTAGTCGTAGTAGTAGTAGTAGTAGTAGCAGCCGCAGCAGCAGCAGGTTATCTAACTTCCACAGCTTATCTAGCTTCTGAGTCACTGCCACCAGCTGTTCAGAAAGCAAATGAACATTCATACAAAAGTACATATTTAATCTTTCGCCAGATCTTTCGCCAAACAAAAAAAAAACTTTCGCCAACTCGAGAAAAAACTTTCGCCAAATGAGATTTTGATATGTTCCGGGTCATCGTCATACACACTGCTGACTAGGACCTTTAGATCGACAACCATATATAGGGGATACTGGGATACATATGTAATATGTCAATGTGATGTTCAGACACACGCCCGAAGGGACTGGTAAAGAAACCTCGGACCAAGTCCATGTTTTTGCCCGGCTGACCATGTAAAGCCGAAAGCTGAGAAATGCCGAGGAAGCCGAATGCAATACTGGATGGCCGCCTACATGCAGCTGTTTCAGGCTACGGCTAGTGGGCGCCCATTGCCCGTTGAGTCCTTAGATCTCAGAACTCACTACCCATGGTTTTTCATGGTCATCCTAAAGACGAGGTCTCCACGGAAATGTAAAATTAATGCCTTTCAGTGCTGATTTTCGGAGAGGTTACTACTTACTTGGCTATCTATTTTTAGGTCACCAGAATCAGAAGATAGGTCTGAGGGCTTTCCCTTGTCTCCTCCCAAAGCAGAACTGTCTGATTGGTGCCTGCATCTCGCAACAAGGAAGGCAGTCCGCCATGGCGTGCGACTGCCGGGTGCCCGAGCACCCAAGGGTCTTCACGATGGCGTGTGGCTGCTGGGTGATGAGATTTGATCCGCGGAGCGGTGAAAATCTATTGAGAAAACACACACCATGGTTCTATTTATTAAGCTTCGGTAGATGAGAACCATGTAAACTGACTAAGTGGTCCGAACAAGGAAACTGGCCGAAGAGACGGCTAACGATTCCACAGGAGTGCACGCTTCGAGTCAAATGCTGCAAGTGAGCATCCTTGGATATATCGCGAGAAGAACACAGAAAAGAGACAGGAGCACCACCTGGATATGCTAATTACAGGTATGCAACCAACCCCTTCATATGAGGGGTTTTTCATGCTCTTGAAACACAAAGCAACACGTTCAATCCAACTGAACAGCGGGTAGCCAGTCTTTGCATGTTTTCTTTTGTGTTTCTCACAACAACGTCCCCCTTTGAAAAAAACGTGCACAACGTTGCAAAATCACAGTCATCTCATCCCCGAAGCGGCTTTTCAGAACAAAAAACACATTTTTGCTGCTGGTCACTCCTCTTTAAGCCTGCCGCATGCCAATTCGAGAACTAGTAGCCAAGGCGCCGCGTTTAACCGCACCGTGCGCATGGAAAGTGGAAAGTGGTCACTCCACCACCAAAAGGAGCTTCTGAGGTTCTACTGGTCTACCGCAGCTCTCTTCTTGGTCGACATCCCCAGATGCGTGAGGTGCTAACCTCACGCCAAAAAACATGAATTTCTCTGTTCATGGGCGCGTTCATCTGGACCAGAACGCTACGTTCGGGGCTCCTGACATCGCTACTAGGAACAAGAACGCTGCCAGTAACAAAGGGCATCGCTACCAAGACGGGAATCCGAAGACGCCCTGGAAGATTGGAACCGCACGGCCGGGCACTGCTAGCCAAGAAACGGCATCTGCTCTGGCCTGGGGCCGAGTTTCGGCATCTGCTTCATGCCGACGGGCAAAGGAAATCCTCTATCATCCTCTATGCAAAGCAACCTGAGATCCGACTGTAGGTGCAAGAGTGAAAGAACATGTCTATCAAGCTCCTTTCAAAGGAACCAAGAAAGACACACATTGAGATGTCCCTTCTTGATGTCTACAAGATGTAGCAACCTGTACCACTTGATTTGGTCTTCTTTGGACAACTGGTTCAAGACCCTGATCTGGGTTGCTGTTGATCTGACCTGAACAATCTCTCATGTGAATCTTGCACGACGACCTGGAGTTCAAGAACAAACACACACACACACACACACACGCAAACATGTCAACAATGGTCACCTGTTCTCCTACGCACTACCTACTGATCTAGTGCAAATGTGAAGAGAATTTGCCATGGCATGCCACGGGTTTGAGACTCCTGAAGGACCAGGTGATCACTTCAAGCCCAGGCTGCGGCCTCCAGTGCTGCTTTCCTCAGCCAGACTGGCTGACATCCAATTAGGCTGCCTTACCCATCCAATGAACCAACCGCTACCAACCACGTTGTGGCTCGTCGCTCATGGGTGGTTCCAAACCCAAGTCTTCTCTTTAGTACAGAAAATCCACCTGTACAGAAACAGGAGGATTCAGCCAGAACCTCCAAAATCCACAAGCACAATGGTAGTGTATTTAAATAAGGACACTTCCCAGTTCGACCCCCTGGAAGACGAGAAATAGACAAAAAAAACATTAAACCTGGGGGTCTCCCTATTAAAATACACACATGTATTGTGTGCAATGAGGTGGTCCCAGAATGGGGTGATGAGGTGGTCCAACCTGAAGTGAACTTGTTGAAAGTGAGACGGACAATCCAACATCCAGATGGACCAACCACATGTTTGGCCTTGCCTTGACGAGATCCATGAACCAGCTGCAAGTGACTAGTTGCAGTCCTTTGGGAGAAGTACCCTAAGAGGCTGCTGAAGGACCAAATCCGGGTACCAATCTGGCTTAGTCTATATAGTCAAATTCCTATCGGCATATATAGTCGTGAGTGAGGATTCCAGGATATCCAAACAACAGTCAGTGCTACATACATTACGTACATCGCAGCCTGTTGGAAGTTATTACCAGGCATTCAAGAACAGGACGTGACAAAAAAAGGTAAAAAAAACAACAACAAATAACCTGCTGCATGGCCACACAAGTATGAAACCCATTGAAACTCCAAGCGTTTCAGTGCACCATGGTGCTTCCATTCCATTCCACGTTCCTCCAAGCTGCAAGGAGGGTGAGGAATCCACGGGCTCCTCAAGCGACAATCCAGAAATTGGAAAGGGAACTTGCTAGATGATGAACTAGACATCGGGGTTGGGGGGAAGACCACTGGCGCAGGCACTCTCACCCTTTTCCATACCCAGCACGTAGTTTAACACACCAAAAACGCTTTGTACGAGTTACTGAGTGACTTACGCTGTCACCTACGCGGTCTTCGAGATCTTGTTCACTATACTTACTGGGGAACCTTGATTGCACCCCACTTACCCAGCTCTGTTGCGGACTCCAACCTGAAAGTCACCCGCGGCTCTCGACAAGGCTCTGGCCTTGCACATGGACACAGGGCTGGGTTCGAGGGGTAGGTGGAACAGATTCGCATCCTAGGGAACCTAGGTGAGCTGAGCACATGACATAAGGCACTTTGACCCAGCTGTAGATGCTGCTCAAGTCACAACATTTGGGTGTTGTGTTGTGCCACCACAGTCTGCCATGACCCGTTGCGCCACCGCGTTTTCGCTGCTTTTGAGACTGAATCGATTCAGGGTGCTGAAGAGACCGGTGAAACGATCCTCCCTGAACGCAGTAAGATCCTACTTCAGTCAGATCCTGAGTGATGACGTTTCTTGGGATAGCTGTCTCCAATACCATCTCTTGGGCCGACCCTGCTTTTCTCGTTCTGCACATTGCAGCAACTTCTGCTTTTCTTGGCTGACTATATAAGGAGGCTTATAGGGAAGTATGTTTAACTACAAGTACATACAAAGTGGCCAGCTCTTATGAAAATCGGTGGTTTTCCATGCATTTCCGTGTTTGCCAATCTTGCTTGCATAATTTCAGCAAGTGTCAGACATCCTGCCTCAGCGGCTTTGGCTTCAGCCAGCTGCTCCCTGAGCTGTGCCTCCGGATTTGGAGGATGCATCAAAGTTCGAGCGGGGTTTGCCTTCATTGTTTTTTTTTGTAATATTAAGACAACATTAGAAAACATATTGAACATTGAAAACATACTCCCAATTTACTTCCAATGGCGGAGAACCAGAATGAACATGCAATGTTTGGCTGGGCAACTTGTCAGCTTTCCTTCAGCCAGTGGTGGCGTGCCTTGTGGTCCTCAATGGGAAACTCTGTTGCGAAGCTTCACGCAGTGTTCGAACTCATTCTTCCAACAATTTGTTGATGGCAGTTGGCACTGCAAAATAAGATGCATCACATGCTCCCAGACATCACCCTCCGTCGCCTCAGTGTCTTTGGCAGTCATCAACTCCCATTGCAAGTCAACGCCCTTGTGATCGGACGCCTGGCGGGGTGGAACCTCTGAACTCCGGGACTTCTCTGTGAACTCCCCTGCATGCTACATTGGTAGCTCAAGCCATGGGCCATCTGCGCATTTCGGGTGATTGGCACATAAAGGAGAAGAAAAGGGAAACCATGAGAAAGAATCGACAGGGAGCAAAATTCATGCATCCCCGCAAGTACTGAAGTACTCACTGCCGAACCGCCCCATCTTGCCCCAGACCTCGTTTCGCTGCCGAACACCCCACCTCTGCAGTACGGGCTTCGGCCAATTGCTCTCGCAACTCCTCCTCGCTGCAGCAAGGGATTTGGGGGGAGCCATGGTCGGGTGGGCAGGTGCTTGGTTTGCCCACTGGAGAGACCGGCAACGCTCAGGAAAGTCCCGGAAACGGTTGTTTGTTTTTTTCATGTTCTCTGCACCATTTCTTTGTAGAGGTTAAGTCGGTCAACAAACAATAAAGGGCTTGGTCAGTTGGTCACCCCAAGTGACCACGTATCATCTTGATTCACATGCCATCTGCCATCTCTGTCTGCTCGCCCTTCTCAATGGCACGAGTGACACGCCACTCTCGATGACTGACCCTATGGATCCACATACCTTCTGAGAAGGTGATTGCAGACTATTCATGTAGGCGCCAGGATGGTCCAATTACCTTTTGAGAAGGTGGCAGTGGATCCCTAGGGTGAGACAGGCCCTCTCGCTGAAGGCACCTCTCGCGACCTCGCTTTGGAGAGTTCGTCTTGGAGCGCGATCACTGCTGCAGAGCTCTTCGACTGCGGATGCGTTTCACTCGCTCAACTCGCTCTGATCGGGCCAGTCTTGGGGCGGGCCGGCCATCAGGCCATCATTCTATAGAAGTGCAGGATCCCCAAATAGAAACTATAGACACCTTGTACAGATTGAATCCTTTAAATCTGCCACCAACACGAATGTGGCACACCGCCGAGCTTTTGCGCCCGCACCTCCGCTTCTCGTTTCTCTGTGAGCTCTTCCCGTAGTTTTGAAAGCTCTTCTTGTAGCTTTAACGCCTGCGCAAAAACAGGCAAAAACGATCATTTTTGACACGACAAAAACGGGCATTTATGATATCTACACGTCCAACTGCTTCATTTTGAGGGGACGGGACAAGCCGGGTCTGGTTCCGACTCACCCAATGCGTCTGTAAACAGAATCTGGCAGGTTCATCTGTGCCCAAGCCATGTGGTGGTCAAACGCGTGCCCAAGAGACCCAAACGGCTCTTGCATACATTTCCAGTCTCCACCATGGTAATTAGCAATCAATGTGTGGGCCTACACAGTTTTTGGGGGGGTCCATACAATCCCCATGAACCTCCACTGTCCAGGCTTCTAACAAAACGTCTCCTCCCGACCTCAGCATCTTTGGCTGCTTTCAACTCCCTCATCTTGCCTTCGGCCTGCGCGAAAAGAACAAAGAGAGTGTGCCATTGGCGCCGGTGCATGGGACGGACCTGAAGGATCCAATCAAACGGATTCGACCTGCAGAACACCTGATCCGCGCGGCTCGTCCTTGGGACGCGCGTCCCTGG